ATAAAAGAGGCCATATACATCAGGGCACTTCAACCATCGCTCAACCGGGACGGGGGGCGATATCGACTTCAGACAACCTTTGACCCTTTGCTGACGTCACACGTGGAAAAAATCACGTGTCCACAGCATTTGGGTCAGATAGCTGAGGAGGACTGAGTGATTCAGTCGAAAATTTCTGGTGAGTCAAATCTTGAGTTGGAGAACAGTTTAAGTTCTTCATAATGTAATTTACCAATTCAGCTGAACTTTCATGCTGTCTCCGTTTCTTCTACAGATCAGTTTTACAGCAGAGAATGGAAACCGTGCAAACGTGCCTGACGGCATGGTGGTGGTGACGGACGGCCGGACAGACGACGCGGTGGACGACTTCTCCACGGCGGCGCGGCACCAGGGCATCACGATTTTTGCCGTGGGGATCGGGGACATGGTCAACCGGCAAACACTGGGCACCATCACCAGGGATCCGGACAATGTGCTGCTCGTGACGACTCAAGCATCGAAAACGGCTGCTATGAACAGGCTTACGAGATGGCTGTGTAGAGGTACTGTACCCATGTTAATCAACATCCAAGTCATACGTGTTAGAAGTCCAATATTCAGCATTTGACAAGTGATGAAGGAAATTTAAAAGAATTAACTTGAAATTATCAACGTCAGTCCATGCCACGCACGCCACTGTTTGAATTGTCCAAAATAGTTGCCTTGATATGAAGGTTGAAATTCAAAATCGGACAGACGATGAAAAGTTTTTTTTTTTAATCTATTAAATCTCTGTGTCTAGGCGTTTTCTGTGACGATCCTGGCGCACCGAGGAACGGTTCCAGGCGGGGCAATTTCTTCCAGGGCGGCTACGTGGACTTTTTCTGTGACGACGGCCTTATCCTGAACGGCGCCACCCCGACCAGGTGCCAGGCCAACACCGACTGGACGGAGCCGGTCCCAGTCTGCGGACTTACCGGGAGTCGGGGTGAGATTTGTCATTTTAGTGGTCACCTGTAACCGGTGCAATAGCTCAACAATCAGGTAACCGGGAGGTTGTGAGTTCAAATCCCGGCCGGGTCATATCAAAGCCTTTAAAAATGGCACATACTGATTTCTCTGCATAGCACTCGGCATCTGTGAGAAAGAGTGTGGGAAGGACATACAGCACTACCAGTGGGCTATAGCCCCCTGCTGTAGTGTTTGCACAACTGTGTGGTCCAAGGGATACAGAAATGGAGATGTGCACCACCCCCATGCCCTGCACAGTATACGGGGGACTGACTCCCCTTTCGGAGTGTACAGGCCTATAGTTTGCCTGGTTTCCAACATCGAAGTCTTTGATGTGAAGATAACGTTCCATTGTGTATACAGGTTTCAGATGTCTATAAAATCTTAGCTTACCGACATCAACAGAGAGATTGTAAAGAAAGGTTTGGATATACATGTCAGAGAGTCTACTTCTAAGTAAGGTACATATGTGTTGCTTATCTAGATCTACGTTGTCGCTATAGCAGATATATGAGAAACCACTGCGGTCAAGTATTTCTTTCACTTGGTGTAGCAGATTTTTCTTGTTACCATGCATTAACATATGTTTTTGAGATAGTAGAGCGTCAACTTGTATGGGATGTGTATAAGCGTCTAGTTGTCTCAGTCTTAACCAATACTTGACTAGGCGTACCGATACGTCTGTGTCTAGTAACAATCTACCGAGTTCTGCTTTGCAAGCTCCGTTGCTAGCGTTTCTGTGTACCCGAGGAATGTTTTTTTACAGAAGCGATAATGGACAGTTTCAATAGGACAGTTGTCATTTGAAAAATCTTTTCCCCAGATTTCACAACCATATAACATTATTGATCATTAATATTATACAAGTTGATTTTCGTAATCGATTTACACCACACCAACTTGTCTTGTTTCCGTTATTTTCGACATCCAAGTTGTATTACCTGTTTGTAGTTCATGGATTTCTGTTCTTGTGTTTAATATTTGTCAAATGTATAATATCGAGGAGAGGGCTTTTATAAGCACTATTGCATTTTTTTCAAATCCTGTTCAAAGGAAGTGTGAATAAAAAAAACATGTTTGGTCTATTTCAGCCGCCGCCGGTGGACTCCCTCCCTGGGCTATTCCCCTGATTGCCAGTCTGGTGGGGCTGGCTGCCCTCGCTCTGCTGGCCTGCCTGCTCCTAACATTCTGTGGAGCGTAAGTTAGGCCACACCGATTTAATTTTATGGATGACATCCTCTGAAGAACCCCCAAACTAGTGCGCGCGGGCGAAAAAAATAAAAATCCGGCCAAAAATAAAAATGCTACAAAACCACAGGAATACAAACCTGGTATTGTGAATTTGGCGCATTACATAGCGACGTATACGATAGGCCGACACATGCTGGATTTTTGCGGAATATATGAATCGACACTGCTGATGTATGTACTGAGTTCTTGAGTCTTGGAGCTTCGGTAGCCTGGCTGCCGTCAACCAGAGTTATCACCACCATGCACTACCCAGGCCTAAAGCCAGGCCAGAGCCTCGGAATACGTGATCTTTTTTTTTTTTTCTTTTTTTTTTTGAGATCGGGCGAAAATCAATGCGCGCGGGGATGTCATCCATAAAATTAAATCGGTGTGGCCTTATCTAAAGCTGCATTGTGTAACATTATTTTAGGACGATACAAAAAGTTCATTTCTCTGGTCATTTCTTTACTTGCACACTAAGTTGAACCAATCCTACTTAATTAAGGGTTAAAGACCCGCCCCGAGGTGAAGATGGTGTGATAAAGCCTTTTCAGTTGCTATAACCACAGAATAAAGCCACCAAGTGAGCGCAGCTATATGATAATTGCAAATAAGGACCATTCAGGAAGTGGAGGTGCCAAAATATGACATCTTACGAGTGTGTTTAAAAATTATTATCATATAGCCGGGTGACGTTGACCAATCAAAAGGCTCCATTCCACATTCCTTATGACACCGTAATGTCACAAATAGAGTCAAAACAGGGTCTTTATTCATCCCAATCCATACATTAAACAACCCAATAATCACCCGCATATGACCTCAGGTGACCCAAATAGAACACCGCTCTGTTCTAAAAAATCCAAAAATAACTTGAGTTGTGTTCCAATGACCTCAGGTAACTCCCATAAGAACACCTGTTCCCTGCCTTTGACCAAAATAGAACAAGTCCTCCCCCAGTGACCTCAGGTGACTCCGGATGGAACACAATGTTCTATTTAAGTTTGTATGTGTTACACAGGAATGCGTCACTCTTTAATGTGTACGTTTTGATGGGTTATATGATAATAGCGTTAATGCCCCGCCCTTACTCGGTGAATATGGTTTGATAAAGCCTGCGCTCACTCAGTGGCTTTATTCTGTGGTTATAGCAACTGACAAGGCTTTATCACACCATATTAACCTCGGGGCGGTTCATTAACCCTTAATTCATGCCTTATCGGGCTGAGTACAGGTGAACAGATTAAAAAGCATATACATGTTTGTAGTAAAAACAGAACTACTGATACTAATCTAACTACATCACCTATAAAACTTCTCTTATACAGAGGTTCGGCTTCTTCTCGTTTCTTTGTGATATATGTTAAAAATATAATTTGAGATGGGTATATCAAAGTGCATAACAAAGTGGAATTTGTCAGGGATAGGAAGTATGGAAACGTTCTTGTAATATATCTATAAAGATCATTTCTATCATTACTATATAAGCTACAATCTACGACAGAGTGGATTTTATCTTCTGTCTTGTTTCACTCACGCGAAATCTTTCCTTTTCACACAGAGGTGCAGCCGGCGCCGCTGCGGCTCCGCCCCCGCCTCTGCTGGCCGCCGCCCCGGTAAGATAACGTTATGTTAACTTTGTGTTGGATCTGACTTTAACTTTAAACATATTAGCATTTCTGTTTTTGCTATTACTACTACTATTATTCTGTTGGTATTCTTATTTCTTGTTATGTCATTTCTGTTAATTTATTTCATTTTGGTCAGGGAGCAAAAAAGTAATCTCCAGATTCGGTGGGGCACGTGACATACATTCCTTTCAAACCGTGCCCGATCAGGATTCTCCAAAACTGCATTCATTGTTGTTTGATTTTTATTGTCAGAGGTCAACGACCTGCTTGCGTATCTCGGCCGAATGCCGACGTGGTCCCGCAAAAGGCGGTGAAGCTCGCCCTAGAACGGACACATTATTTGACCATTACTGCTCTTTAAGTTGCTGCCACGTAAAATTTGGTATTGCATATAAATAAAGAAATATCACCCTGTAATCCATGGTCAAGTGAAGTCACATTGAAATCACATTGCGTTCAGACGCAAATCGCGATGCGGGAAGGCCGATTCGAAACCACCTCTAGAAGTGGTTTGGGACCGAGGCGCTTTCAATGTGATTTGGAGCGTTCAGATGGAGCCACTTGAAACCGGCTTCGGGGGAAACCACATGTAAAGCGCCGTCACTGACTTCATATGAACAGGGCCAAAGTCCCCTTGCCCCACCGAATCTGTTTGGAGATTAGAAAAAAGGGATTTCCTGTTTCCCCTCGGTGTTTTACAAGTGTGTGTGTGTAACAAAGCTAAAATAAATTTAAATTTAACTAGTTTTCCTGTCTTAGATAAAATCGGGAATGGTGATGTGTACATAAATTGACGTATAGAACGAACGAAAGTACTAACTGACACGTCTTTGTCTTGTTTTCTCTCCACACACCCCACACCTGACGTTCCTGACCCCTGACGTTCCTGACACCTGACGTTCCTGACACCTGGCGTTCCTAACACCTGACCTTCCTAACACCTGACCTTCCTAACACCTGACGTTCCTGACACCTGACGTTCCTGACACCTGACGTTCCTGACACCTGGCGTTCCTGACACCTGACGTTCCTGACACCTGACGTTCCTGACACCTGGCGTTCCTGACACCTGGCGTTCCTGACACCTGACGTTCCTGACACCTGACGTTCCTGACTACCTGAATCGGCGGCCAGATCCAGAAAGAATCCCAGGTGGCCATCGTCGAATTCGTCAAGGACCCGGGAACGGAGGTCCAAACTGCCATCGCCAAAATGCACTAAAACTGGTGCAAAAATTAGCATTAGCTAAGCTAAATATTTTTGTCAAACTTTTGACAAATTTCCATTCTTTGTATTCGTTTTGCTTATCATTTTATCAATGCCCAAATTCTAAATTTTTTAACTTAGTTAAGGAGAATGGGGAAAATGCGTCACATTACCATTTAGAAGTGTTTCGTTCTGTTTTATTCTATTCCAGTTTTTAAGTGATTCACCGCCGTCTATTTCCATACTGCAAGTTGTAATGTTTCGTAACAGTTAGCTTTTCGGCAAACAAGCATTGTCTTAAAGTAGGTAAAAACAGAGCGGAAGTGTCCACAACATAAACCAGAAAAAAAACGCAACAGAACACAACTTTAAGATTAACTATCCCATAACGTTAGTATTCTTTTCATCTATCATTTCAGTT